AAAAACTGCCTCTTTTGGCACATCCCTTCTTCCTCATAGAACGAGGCTTACAGGGATGGTGAAAATGTGTCTGCTTTTTTGGAAGTTGTTCTGAAAAAGTGGACACATTCCTTGGATGTGGCATAGATTCTCCGGGATACCTCTGGTATCCCGGAAAACCTCTGCAGTATAGACATAGATACAGCTGGAGCCCTGAGACATGCCATTCCCGACAACAGCAATGAAGGGGCTTGGGTGTAGTACTGTAAATGCTTGTGGCATTTTAGAGAGGAAAATAAAGACAATTCCTCTCTCAGTAGCTTATAATTGTGGAACACTAATTATTCCCTTTGGTCTTCCAGCCTTTTGCTTCTTTCCTTCTGCTTCTGTTACTTCCAATATTCTTCTTGGTCCCCTTCTTGGACCCCACTTTCTATAATGAAAGCTGAGTCCTGCTTAGCTGTACCTTAACCAATTGTGTTTGTTTTTCATTGGTTAATAAAATTATACTAAGTAATTTCAACACTGGTGCAGACTGGTGTAGATTTCCTGAGGTGCTCTTTCCCATCACACAGATAAGGGGTAGGAGAGACACTTCATGAGTCACAGCCAGTTCCTTCATGGGTGAGGTGGGGATAACAAAGGGTTATTCCTTCTTGTACCTTTGATCTTGGGCAGCTCCACTCTTTGCCCTGGAAGACACTCCTGCAGCCAAACAGCTCTTCCAGTGAAATTCTCTGACACTCTTCTGTTTTCCTTTAAGCGGCTTACCTACACGCCTCCTGCTACCTTCCAGAACACATCACACATTCCAATGTCTACAGCCAAGCCCTAAGATACAACCACATTTGCTCCAATCCCACAGAGCGAGCCAGACACCCACACAGGATCTCTATCAACCATTCTTAAAACTACACTATCCACCTGGGGAAGTGAAGAAACAGCTTGATAGAGCCAGGCGGGTACCCTTGCTACCTGCACAAATTTCTCTATCCCTTCCACACTGTAGGGGGACATACCTTTACCCAGTTCCTAGGGCTCAAGATGCAACCCTGTTAATTTACACACCCACCCGTACCCAATTCCTAGGGCTCAGATCACAACTTCCTGCAGGTTTTGGAGGATCTTTAGCCACTGAAAGAGCCTCACACAGTAATATCCTTATCCTCCATTTACTGACAATTCCCAAATAAGCAGAGTACACATGCCAAGCACCCAGTGTCATGCTCACCATTCCTGGTACAGGCGACTTCCCCTGTTGGCTAGGCAAGGTCATTCTCTGTGACATGCAGCAGCTAAGATCCAGATTCTAGTCTTAGGCTGTGTCTCGGAGGCGAGTTCTTCCAGGTCTTTCCCCTTCTCCTTGGTGTTCCTTGTCTCCCTTTGGTCTTCCAGCCTTTTGCTTCTTTCCTTCTGCTTCTGTTACTTCCAATATTCTTCTTGGTCCCCTTCTTGGACCCCACTTTCTATAATGAAAGCTGAGTCCTGCTTAGCTATACCTTAACCAATTGTTTTAGTATAATTTTATTAACCAATCATAACAAAATTATGTAACCAATCATACTCCACCACCTTAATTGATTTACACCTAGCAAAATTAATTACACAGCAGTCAGAAACCGTTACAAACCAGACACAGATCACACAGACAAACAATAGGAAAGTAAGGATACTTAACTACAGAGTGCGGACTCCACAACATTCTCAATGGAGAAGCAGTTTCTGGCCATACAGAATGGTGTGACTTAAGTTTTCTTTACCCATCTTGAGATCTGTTCCTTTATCTGGGGAAAGTGGGGGGGTATCAGGACAAAATCCTCTCCTCACAGCTTGGTGTGACACTATTTTAATACAATTTAGATGGAATGTGAGTATGTGACTCTAGACCTTACAGCTAATGGCTGCTGCTCTTCAGTCTGGCTGCAGAAGAAGGCTTTGGTTCAGGCCTACCACAGGCCTTTCAACACAGCTACAGAAAAGCCATATTGTTACACCTTGAAGTCACCTATTACAAGACAGACAAAAATAAAGCAACAGAACACCCCTGGCCATTGCCTACAGCCCCCAGCTAAAACCTCTCCAGCACATAATCAAGGATCTACAACCTATCCTTCATTATGATCCCTTGCTCTCACAGACCTGGAAGACAGAGTCCTTGCTAAAAGACAGCCCCCCCCAAATACCACCAACTACAAACTCCACAAGAGAAACACTAACCCAGGAACCAATCCCTGTAACAAACCCCTTTGCCAGCTCTGACCACACCATCATGGAACCTAACCACATCAGCCATACCATCAAAGGCTTGTTCCTCTGCGTATCTACCAATGTGATATATGCCATCATGTGCAGCAATGCCCCTCTGCCATGGACACTGGCCAAACTGGACTGAGTCTACATGAAAAAATAAGGCCGGGTCTGGGCACCGCTGAGGGTGAATTGCTCAAACTAGGGGCTCTTTGTAGCCCCTGGCTGGCGGTCCTTCCCAAATAGGCCACAAACCAGTCGCACAGAGCACTTCTGCTGCCTGCCTGGCCAGCCAGAAGCCTCACAGGCAAAACCCCTCTGACACTCCAGCGCTCTCCGTGCACCAAACAGTCCTGGGCCTAACACACAGGTGAAGGGTTTTAGAACCCAATCTCACCTACCTCAAATGGGTTCTTCCAGTTCCAAGAAACTAGCCACAGATCCCAGGTCAATTTACACTCTGGATCTTACCCACAAATCACGATGAACCAATCCTTTAGAATCTAACAGCTAAAAGTTTATTACTGAAAGAAAGAAAAGCATGAGAATGAGGTTGTTAAAGTACCATACATTACATGCATCGAATCTCCCAGTTCTTGAGGCAGGCTTGCAGCAGGGATCTTATAAGTGCTGGCTTAAAAGTCCTTGGTGTACATCCTATGTCAGGATGGGTCCACAGTTCTTTCCGGCTTGTTGATCCTTGCAAGGCTGCCTCTGGGATGAAGAGCTGAGCTGAGCACCAAGATGGCGTCGTTCACATGGCATATTTATATCCCTTCCTGGTCTCTTCCAAGCTGGAAACAGTCACATGGTCAGTGGCCAGGCACCTACATTCCTTCCTAGGTGGGTATCTGGTACTTAAGAGACTTATTGTTCCTGGTGGCTTGCTAATTAGCATGTCCATAGGGTAAGCTTTTCTCGCCCATTGCTCAACCACATATAGAGAAACGTCCAGTGTCCATACAGAGTACATGTCTATAACTTCCACACCAACATTATACAGGTATATGAAGAGCATATACAGAATCAGTTGACTGTAAGCTTTCATTTGACACCTCACATGGCCCCCTTTGTACCAACTTTTGGGGCAAACATCCCCCATGGGTACAGCAGTGATCTGGTTGCTCCCCTTAAAATCCAGTAACATGACACCTAACCACATCAGCCATACCATCAAAGGCTTGTTCCCCTGCGTATCTACCAATGTGATATATGCCATCATGTGCAGCAATGCCCCTCTGCCATGGACATTGGCCAAACCGGACTGAGTCTATATGAAAAAATAAATGAACACAAATCAGGTATCTAGAATGGTAATACGGATGTTAAATTGCAGTTAATCAACTAATCAAGTAGTTGATGGAATTTCCATTGATTACTCAATAAGGGGGGTGTTCACTACCTCCACTGCGGCTCTGCAATTTAAATGTATTAGAAGTTGTAGCCCTACTACATTTAAACTGCTGCGGGGTTATCGCCTGGGTGCGGTGTGAGCCAGGACTAAGAAGTCCCAGTTTGTTCCAGGTCTGCCCCTCCCCCCCGCACTAAGGAGACAGTGCTGTGGGAAACCGGCTTTTAAGTCAACTCCCCCAGCACCAGCTCCTGCTCTCCCAGCCCGCTGCCTCTGACACAGAAGCAGAAGGGGGGGGGGGGGGGGGCGCGGGGGCCTGCCACTGAACCTCTGGGAGAGGCAAGAGAGAAGTCTACCCTTTGCATCCCTAAATAATAACATACAAAACCAGTTGGAGAGCATTTTAATTTGCCTGGACACAGATAGAGATTTGAAAATTGCCATTCTTCAGCAAACAAACAAATCAAACCCCTTCAAAAACAGACTGCAACGTGAAACCACTGAACTGGAATTCATATACAAATTGACACCACCAGAACGGGTCATTACAAAAAATAATTTTCCCCTTTGGGTATTCTCACTTTACCACAGTTGGAAGTGGGCCACATCCACCCTGATCGAATTAGTGCTGATGTAATGCTCCCATCTCTGTTTCTCTACCATCTGATTCTTTCCCTTCATGCATCTGATGAAGTGAGTTGCAACAAGCAAAAACTTTATAACTTGATAAAATGGTTAGACTTTCAAGGAGCCACTGGACTCCTTGTTTGTGCCTGTGTAAGCACTTCTCTGGCAATTACTCCTTAGTTATCAGGGCTGTTGGGTAACTCAGAGTGTGCTTGGAGGCCTGGTTGTGTCCTGCCACTGAATAGGACAGAGGCAGACATTTTTCCCTCTGAAGTTCAGAGGCCTTGAGCTGCTAAAGTATGTGATTTAATGCAAAAGAAGAAACTGTTACAGCACCTCATTATGCAGGTATGCGTTACAGGAACTGTATGCTAGGGTAATTTCCCTTTCTCCAGCTGGAGGACTCAAGAAAGAGCAGTATGCCCTGCAGCTCCTGCTTCTTGGTCTGGCCCCATGATGCTTCATGTGCTCTATGCTACAGGACTTGGCACTACGATGGCAGAAAATGGGGAAACTTCCTGGCATTCACTGATGCAGGGAACTGAGGACTAATTTCGCATCTTAGTACACACAGCAAAGTGTAACTTTACTGGTGATTTCACGAGGTGACAAACCCGCTACTAGCACAGAGTGCAATGGGAAGACAAATGAGGCCAGCACCAAAAGGAAGACCCAGATCACAGCAAACAGGACGACTGCCCCACTGTGGTCAGAGAGCAGCCGACATGCCAACAGGTTGTGTCCCCCAAAAGCCCTGCCACATGCCCAATGGCAATGAAGCGCAAACTGCAGCAGGTACAGGACTTAATGTTTATTTAAAAAACCCAGACACAAACAAAACCACATTGTAATAGTGACGCTCTGCAACAGCAGGCAGCATCACAGATACAGCAAAGACTAAGGCTCTGCAGGGCTTACTGAGCAAAGGGTCCAGAGTTCAGACAAGCACTTGCAAGTGGCCAGTAAGATCTTGCTTTGCTTCCCTAATTTATATCAGGAATGATGCTTTACAGAGGCAAACAAGATTGTAAATTACATATTTTAAACTCCTCCCTCTGTCCCAGAGCTGCACAAGCAGAAAGGCGGGCTTTGATGGCTGTTGTATTTCTCAGAAATCTGTGCTCGAGAGCAACCACAGCTGCAATGACAACTTGGAGGCAGAAGTCTGAGCGGGACATGTCTCACTTATTCTTAGTGAGAAATTCTGCAGCGCTGGCCACTCTATTTTCTTGCTGCCCTGTATCACAATAGATCAGCCATTCCAGCCCAGGAGAGATGAGAAATGAACAAATGTTGAACAGCCAGTCTCGTATTGCCTTTTGCTGGAACCTGGCTCCAATCACACCCCCATCCAAAGAGTGAGGCCAGAGCTAGCTGCAGAGGCTCACCATCCCTCTAGGTGCTGGGATAGATTAGTCATTTAGTAGATTACGGTCTGGTGATTGGTTTTCTGCATCTGAATGATTTTGCCAAAGCCACCTCTTCCCACATCATAGTCTGTCCGGTATTCGTCTCGCACCTGGGGCAAAGCAGTAACACAAATCAGCATCTGCACCTGGCTAGACAGAGACATGCTAGGCACCCTCTTCGCATACATTGGTGGTGGGCTGAAGCTCAGATTACAAGCCTTTGCAAGCCCTTAAAATACCTTGCAAAGGAACCATTACCAAGGAGACTGATGGGAAGACCTGACTTTTCTAATGGCGGGGCCATCATTAGACATAATGAAGCAGCAGAGAAGGGCCAAATTCTGTTTGGTTTTGCTTTGCAGTTCATCTTTATGAATCGCCAAAGCCTGAACCTAAAGCTTTGTTCCTCTGGAAATCTGGGAAGAAATTTTAATCTTCTCATAGGCATCATTTGATGATTAAACTAGCTTTAGAACCACACCATCCCCATTATGATCCTGTTTCTCACTCCCCACCTTGATTGCTACACCCTTTTGAGAACACTATCTTGAGAAGTGAGCAAAGCGGTTTGTTTTGGGCCATAGGGAGCTTGGAATGTAGTTTCAAAAGGCATTAAGTACCATGCTCCTACTCTAGTGATCTTAAAATAATTTTAGACTGGCTTCAGTTCATTACTGGGTCTGCCATGGATGACTGCCTTTGTACTAAGGATGTGAATGAATAGCCGGTTAATCTAGTTGGCTACTCGCATTCTGTCCCCGTTGCCTCTGTATCTGAAGCAGCAAGGGGAGGGAGAAGCAGGAGCTGGTGCCACCTGCTTCGGCCCCCCATACCCCACACTGCTGCCTCTGTCCCAGCCCCCCGTGGACAGGGGCTGCTGCTGGAGCAGCCTCTGTCGATGGCATGCTCTGTGGCAGCCTCCCCTGCCTCCTACTCTCCCAGTAGCCTCTGTCCACAGGGAGCTTGGACCCTTGCAGACAGGACTGTTGCAATCCTGCACTGCTGCTTCTGTATCAGAGGGAGCAGTGCAGGGTGGCAAGCAGCCAGCCCACAAGGGGAGCTGGTTTTTAAACAGTTTCTCCTCGCAGACTGGCTCCCTCCTGGCACCCTGCACTGCTGCCTCTGATACAGAGGCAGAAGCGCAGAGTGGCAGGGGGCTCCCTCAGAGTGGGGCCAGATTGCATGGCTGCCGGCCCTTCCCCCCACGGACTATAAAATAGTCAACTAACCGCTAAGAATTCAATTAACCGACAGCTAACATCCCTACTTTGCACTGGATCGGCCAAAGGTAGCTCCACCCATCACCCAGTCCCAAGGAAGGCTGGCTCAGTGCTGAAGCTAGTATTTTCTTTACCTGTCCTCCAGACTTTCCTCTCCCATATTGTCGTCCCTCCTTAAACCCTGCATCCCAGTCAGTCCTGATGATCCGATCATCCAGTCGGGTGCCATTGATATACCTCATTGCATGCTCAGCATCTGCTCTTGTATAATACCTGGAATTTGTTATAAGGAAGACTCAAAGTGTTGTTCAGCTTGTCAATGCCAGCTGCATACAGGGAATGAGAGAAATGACTATATCCACAGCAATGTCAGTGACTGAGGCAGGATGGTAGAGAAATAGCAGACCCTGTGAAGGAGGGAAACTGTTTGGTACTGTGAATGAAAGCTCACAATTTTCATGTTTGCTCACATATCACAGGAGCATTCCCACCTCCTCCAGAGAGGCCAGATATGCTCTGTAACATGCTGATGTTCAACAGAACTGAGGGGATATAATCCACCCAGGATGCGATTAATCAAAAAGCAGTGGCAGAAAAATTATGGCAACAGAAAACGGAAAAGGATACTCCACGAAGCAGAAGCCACAAGGGGTTTTCTTGACCTTGTCTAACCCCATGACAATCCTCTTAACATCTCCGCATTTGGAGAAGAGCTCCTGGATCTGCTCCTCAGTGGTGTAAAAGGACAGGTTGCCCACATACAGTGTGGAAGAGAGCTTCAGGGCCTTATCCTGTAGGTATCGGCTACCCTGAGAGCACAACAAACAGTAAATGGAAACAGCAACCTACTGTTCCGGGAATGCCTGACCCACTGGTTGTGAAACTGCTACTTCTGCCTGTTTGAGAACCTCCCCCTCCTACTCCAGCAATGAAGTGCAAGATGGCAATCCTATGGCAATCATGGCAAAGGGCATGGGCACTTCTGCCTCCCTCAGGTTTGGGTACTGCACCCTGCCATCTCCTGGGCTGCCATCAGCACCTCAGGCCCTGCCCCCTGGCGCTGTGAATGAAGTGCAAGATGGCAATCCTATGGCAATCATGGCAAAGGGCATGGGCACTTCTGCCTCCCTCAGGTTTGGGTACTGCACCCTGCCATCTCCTGGGCTGCCATCAGCACCTCAGGCCCTGCCCCCTGGCGCTGTGCATCCTGTCCCCCGCCGGTGCTGTACACCCATGTGCCCACCCCCCGGTCCTGTGCTCATCCCCTCAGGCT